TCCCGGCCCTCCCCTGCCTGCTGCTCTCGCAGGAAATCCCGGCGTTTTGGAGGGCGTCCCCTCTGTTTATGGTTTTCTAGGAGGAAAAGGGCAGTCTCCATTTGCTCACTGTTTTCTCAGGAAATGTCAGCGGTTACGGGGACAATTTCCGTTGCTTGTGCTTCCAAGAAAACTCACGTCTGGCCTGGAAAGACCAGGATCTTAGGTGAAGGGTGATGAGGTCCCCACGCTCCCACCGCCTGAGCTGTCTCCAGTGTGGAGATGCTGGCATGTCCTGTACGTACCCGTCCCTCCGAGGCTGTGGAAAGCCCTTCGTGGGCAGCCCTGTGGCCACATCGGGCCAGCTTGCCCCCAGACCTGGCTCCCAGCCCCATGGGGACATGCAGCGATTTGCGGCCAGGAATGCATCCAACACCCCCAGAAAATCCTTGGCTGTGATGATCCAGTGAAAAACGGGGATGCTGCACGGAAGTGAGGAGGCTTGCTAAAAGGAAAGGCAAAGGGGCAGCCAAGAGGGCTGACGGGCTAGCGGGAGGGGTGGACTTCTTAGGAAACCATGCTGGAGCCCTCAAGTAGCTGCATTACTGGCTTTCAGGCAAGGCTTCAGAAAAGGCTAAACAGGAGGGTAAGAGATGCAGCTATAAATAAAAAGGCATCCTTCAGAAAAAAAACCCCAAAGCTATGTCCGAGTAAGAAAAATCGAAGGACCATAAACTGTGGAAAGTTAAGTGTAAAAACATAAGCAAGCAAGCCAAGAAAAAGTCTGAAAAACAACTTCCAAAAGGCATTAAAAGCAAATATGGACTCTTTCAAACACATCAAGAACAGGAAGCCTGCCAGAGGAGGGCCAGGAGGGGATCAAGCTTAAGAACAAAACAACAAAAAAAAGGAGCTCAAAGAAGTTAAAGCTATAGCTGAAAAAGTACGTATTTTTATTTGCTTTTAGTTTGCTTTCACACAGAAAACTCTTGGGGACTGTTTCCCCGGGAAAACCTTTCTCTGTGTGGGATCTGCTTCTGGCAGCAGGACAAGTTGTGGCAGGAGTAGCCGAAGAGTGGCAAGTCACCCCAACCATGCAGTGGTCTCTGGGGAGTCCTGAACGGCCCAAGGATGGAGGCCCTGGCAGGTAACGTCTCTCTTAACATTGCTGCCGTATCTGAGGTCAGGGAGGTGCCAAATGTAACGCCGCTCGGGGGAAAAGATTGCAGGGGAGATTCAAGGAGCTATAAAGCTGTTAGTCTGATGCCTGTATGGACAAATTAGTAGCAACTGTAATAGACAGCCTTAGAGGACACATGCACAAATATGGTATATTGGAGAAGAGTCAACATAGCTTTGGCAGCAGGAAGAGATTCCTCACAAACCTATCGGCCCTCTCTGAGGAGGCCAACGAGCACATGCCTTGGAGTGATGCTGGAGATACCAGCCCTTGGGTTTCCAGAGGAGCTTTCACAAGGTCCTTGCCAGAGGCTCCACAGACCCTGCGCTGCCATAGGAGGAAAGGTCAGCTCATGGGTAACGAGATGGGAAACAGCATGTAAAAGGCAGGAAAAAAATGTAGGGATAAAAGGTGTGTTTTCCTATGTGAGGGAAGTCCTACAGGAAGAAGGGCTGGGACCTTATTGTTTAATGCTTCATACACACTGGGTAAAGCGGGTTAGCAGTCAGGTGGCAGGTACTATGTTATCCACGTAAAACACGCGAGGACTAATTGTGAAGAACTGCAGGAGGATCTTACTACACTGGCAGTGAAGTGGCTGGTGAAATTCCCTGTAGAACAGTAGAAAACGATGCCCCAGGACAAAAAAATCCTAGATCCGTGTATAAAATGGTGAGCTATAGGCTAAGTTACCTTTCAAGAGTGAGAACATGGTGAGTCTAAGAGAGGTCCAAGAAAACATCAGTGCAGTAGCACTGAAGAAAGCAAATCCAGTGTTAGAAAGTAGGAGGAAAGACAAGAGATATCAAAGAGGAACGCTATAGCCTAGTATCAATCTGTGCTTCACCCACATCTGGAAAAGTGCTGCGTAGTGCCTTCAGCTCAAAAGGATATAGGAGAGCAGAAGAAGGTTCATAGAGGGGCCATAAAGATGATAAAAGACCTGGAATAGCTTGTGTTTGAGGAACGCCTGAGTAGCTAGGACTGTTAATTGTGGGAAAGAGACACATGAGGGGGATATAGCAGTGGCCTAAAAAATCATGAGAGCAATGGAGAGGGTAAACAGGGTTCACTACGTGGTTCACCGGAGACCTTCCAATATATGAACCAGAGGGCACCAAACAGGTCAAGCCAGCGGCACATTTAAAACAAAGAAATGCAGCACTTCTCCTTTAAAAAAAAAAAAAAAAGGCAGCAAAGACTGCATCTTTCCAATGCTGTGGTCAACGGGGCAGCTGCAAAGTCTCTGATGAGCACAGCTGGAGGTGTCCCAGGTCTCCCCGTACCTATAGGCCTGTGTGGTTCCCACTGTCTACCCAAGGATAAGGCTGCAAGGAACAGTGACTACCCAGAGGGGAAGCTGAATTGCCCACCTGCCATTCCTGCCTTTGTAAAATTGCCTTGTTTACAAGGAAGCACCCTCAGGCTCCACTGATGGAGCTTGAGTTCACACAGAGGGACTTCTCCTGTGCTCCCCCCTAAGAAGCCGAACGCTATCCACAGTCTCCTCTACAGACCAGTAATAAGATGTTTGCCTTACAAGAGTATTTGTAGCCACAAGGAAATCCTCAGTTGATATTTCACATTTGAAATGCTTTCCTGAGTATCCTCCTGAGGAGAAGGCTTTGCCCCAGGCGAGGTTCCCCTGCACAAGACCCCGATCGCCTTGCACAGCGATTCCAGCTCTCCTCCCACCAATACCAGCACTGTCCCACAGAAAGCCCCCCTGGCCGCCTCACCAGCAAGGAGAGACCCTCTGCAAGAGGGGCTGGAGAGCACAAACCACAGCGCCTGTGGCCACCCACACCAGGGCTCCCGTGCCTGCTGCGAAGCGCAGCGGTGTTGGACCTGCCGCCCCGCCAATACCCTTGCATGGGCACGCGCCTCTGGTTCTGACCACAGCCTCTTCCAAAAGTCCCTCAAATCTGAGGCATTTTTCAATGAACTACGTTTGCAGTTGCGGCTTGGGTAGCCCGGCCGCTTCCCTGGCTGCCCTGAACCGGAGCCGGGATAAACGTCGCAGTGCCACAGGCTGAGAAGAGTGAGACAGGGCAACGCGGCCATTAACGAACGGGGAAGAAAGGACTCTCTGTACAAAGCAGTGTCTTGTGAGAGGGTTCAGGGTTTGGATAATCCACGCACTGAGGGAAATCCAGGAACAAGAGGGGATTTTGAGGTACTTTACAGCTAGGGCTGTTTCTAAGCACACGTGGACTGTTCTTGTCTCAGAAAGGCAACGGCTTTCCTGCTTTTTCCCCCAATGCCAGCATTAGAAGTTGCAAATCTGAGCCCCAACAGAAGACAGCCACTTTGAGCTGAGACTACATGCAGCCCTAATCTTCTGCTGGTCCTAACTGGCCCCCAGTGCCTGGGGATTAAAATGCTAAACCAAGGGAATTGCTTGGTCGCAGAAGGTCTCTCCAAGCAATTGTGTACCCAAGGCCGGCTTCACGTGAGGCTCCAGCTCCACTGCCCCCTACGAGGAGTCCTGGGCCACCGAGGCTCCTTGGGGGCTTTTGGAAGGGAGCAGCAAGCCTGTGCAGACCCTCCCCAGCATGCACGGGTGGGAAGGGAGGGCAGAGACGGGCCCTGAGCGCAGCCCTCTGCTCCACGAGCGAAGCGGCCGCCTGCTCTGCTTCAGGGGACAACTTGCCCCTGCCCTAAACTGGCACCGATCGCTGCCTTTCTGCAGCGCAGGTTTCCAAACCGGGCAGGGGCATCTGGGACTACAGATTCAGTGCTCGCCCGGCCAGAGGGTCTGAAACGCTAGCAGCATCTCACTAGAGCGCCCCACAGCAAACAGTCCCTTCCCCTTGCCCACCCGCCAGTTTCACCTCTATGGCTGCGATGAGACAGCTCCATCCGGGGGCCATGCATCGTTCCCAGCCCGGGAAAACGCAGCGTCCGGCTGCCGTCCGAGCCCTGCCTCAGCTCCCGAGCCGGGGAGCCCAAGCGTTTGCTCCCAGCCTCCGCCTGCAGCGTTCGGCAGCCACCCGGCACCCTCGTGCTCGCACTTGTATCCCTGCGCCCCAGCGTGGCCCCAGGAACACCCTGCCCCTGCCCCAGCCGTTGCTGACACCAGGCGGCTCTCACCTCTCCAGGCACGTGTGGGGCAGCGCAGCTAATCCTTTGCACATCTTGGCACGCTGCGATTTCTCCGGCTTTGAGAAAAGTGCGAGAGCTTGCTAAACCAGGCGTCTCCAGCTCCGTCTGCAGTCCAGCTCCCCCTTCTCCCACATATATAGCGGCCGGGAGCTGGAGCCCAGCCAGCCCCGTAAGCAGCGCCGTCCCACAGCAGCTGGCCCCGGAGAACGCGGCTTCTGGCTTTTGTTTTGTCCTCTCTGAACTCACACGGGTGGAAAATGCTTTTTTCTGTGGTCAAACTGGAACGGCTAAGCTGCAGTTTGGGAAGCTTCAGGGAGCCCATGAGGTTTCCTCTTTCCGATATATCAGGCTCCAAAGCAGCAGAAGGCTCAGGTAGAAATGTTTTATTCATGTGGGTATTCAACAAAAATGTCACTTTCATCAAAATCAAAGTGCTTAGGAGAAGGTGTTTCCTTTGATTTTAGAGCTGTGGCTAACATAAAAATATATACAGTTTCAACAGTGGTTACCAGCTGGTGGATGACAGGTAACTTTTGTTCCAGAACAAATTCATTTTTATGTAAGTTAAAAATACATATATCTATTAATCATAGCAACAATTTCAGATGGTTACACTTTGGTAAGGCCAAAGATGAGCCCTCTCCATAATTTTGCTACGTGGGAAACTGATATTTTTCTGTCCTGTTTGGAGGTAAACGAACACCAGAGCACAGCGCTACCTGGGAGGGGGGCGTAGTCCCCACTCAGGGCCGACCTCCCGCTCTCAGCTGTCCCCCCGGCACTGTTTCCCGTTGCTGGCTAGCTCTTGTGAGGAAGCCCACCAGGCCACAGCCCCTCGCTCACCTCGTTTTAGCCTGCCGGCCCCGGGGGCGAAACCTGCTGGAGGAGCCGGCAGAGAAACCCTTTCCCTGAAACACCCAAAAGGTGGGGATCACCTCCAGGACTCATTATGCAGGGCAAAGAGAACCTGGGATCTGTGAAAAACCTATTCTGGGGCATTTTAAGTGGATTGTGAGAATGTGCAAAACTTAATACGCGACGGCCCCACCACGGCGTCCTGGCAGTGTGCAGGGGCTGCAATGGGCTCCGTCACGCACTGGGGCTGGGGCATTAGCTTGCAAAGGCTTGGCTGGCAGCAGGCTGCACGCCTGCTCTAGCCTTAATCCAGGCTTGTGTATTAACTGAACTTGCCTGAAAGCTCCCCTGATATCTGCTCCAGACGTCTCGCCCAGCGTTCAGGCCGGGAAAGGCCAGTGTGGTGGCAGAGCAGGAGCGATCGTGCTGATAGCCGAGAGCAGGGACGTGCCTGCAGGGCAGCGTGTGCACCCACCAAACTGCAGCTCTGGAAGTGATCAGTGCACGGCTGTAGGCTTCATAGCCAGGGAGTAAGTCAGCCCTGACCTCAAATTAGCAAGAGATCATTGCTAGCCTTAGGGAGTGCCAGGTCTAGGCAGCCCTGTCTAGGTGAGACCCATTTCTGATGCTGGGTTTTTGTCAAGATGCTTCTTGCCTTCAAGATCAGTCTAAATTTTGTCCCCAGCTACTTAGAGCCAACAGCTGAAACATAGTACTTCCTAACACTGTGACTGAATTAGAGAAGGAAAACTGAGTTATCCTGGACACTTTCCTCCTGGCTCCCAGCCTGGCTGTGACAGCCTGTCCTCCACAGCAGGGACAGCTGCAGCACCAGGCACGCCACGAGCCCTCGCACAGCCCGTGCCCCGCTGTGGCTCTCCGAGGGCCCTGCCGCCGTCTCTGCATGCTGCCACTGGCACGCTCAGCCGTGCCGCACTTCGGTGTCACTACATTTCCTCACGTAAGGTGTGTAGTGAATTAAGGGTGGAGGGGGCAGATGAAGGGCCCCTGAGACGCCCTGGCAAGCAGCATCATGGGGAGAGTGGGGTCTCTGCTTGTCCAAGAGCGCCAGTGCCAGATCTCTTCCCTAATCACACATTATCGGTATGTCCTAGGTTGTGTTGGACCAGGGAACGGCATCTCTTGGAGTTGACTCTGTCACTGCCTCCAGCTGGGGAGAGCAACAAGTGCAGGAACATGGTCAGGGAGTCCCATGCAATGTTGGGACCTTGTTCTCTGGAAGCCACCTGCTTTCTTGGTGCCACCAGTTCACAGGTAAGCCTCCTGAAGAACAGGTCCTGAGCCCTAACACTGCTAGCTCAAGCCTTGACTTGCTTGTACGAAGCTGGCTGGTCACAGACCCACACCAGCTTGGGGCAGCCAGACCCCAGGAGAGAGGTGAAGGTTTCTGTGTGGAGCGGGCTGGCACAGGAGGGTCTGAGCAGGCTCGTCTGGGACACAGCTTCTTGCCCCGTCTGCAACAGCTAGCACAAGGCAAAGTCCCTGAAGCTGTTGAGTCCTCTGCACCAACTGCTTTGTGCTGTGGGTCTGCTCCAATTGCACAGCGGGACTCACCAAGTGCCTTTTCTAACATCCACAAGTCAGAGTGCAGCTGGGAATAGGAGACCTTGCTCCTAGCCTGGTTGCCTGGGCCCCAAAGGTGCTAATAGGGCTTAATTTCCTTCACCTGCCCCACCTGGGACCCTCACCCACACCCTGACATGAGCCTGGGGGATCCATTTAAGCTCAGGTTTGAGGGCCTGCTCCTTCCTTGGGCTGTATTATAGGTGTGCCTGTTTATCTTCAGGGTGGGCCTTAGGCTCTTGCTGCAGCTTTATCTCTGTCCCTGTTCTGGCTGCTCCCAGTGGGGCTCCCTGGAGGCCCTGTTCCTGGTTCATTCCTTACTGTGTTTGGGGCTGTTGATGGGCTGTGAGTCAACATTTGCATTTCAGTGTGTTAATGCAGAAAGTGAAGAGCAGAAATCTTCTAGAAACTGGAAGTAGTCATCTATGCCTCTCTGAAGAGCCTTGTTTAGATTTTTTGCTGGTTTGTAAAGGAAATTAATGAAAAAAGAACACCTCAAAATTTCAGAGGACGAGATGCACAACTAGCCTTTGTCAAGGCTTACTTCCTTGCAGGCCAGTATGGTTTTGATCTTTTTAGGGAGAGGCTGGTGGGGGGAAGGCTCTTTGCTAGCACGCCCCAGGAGTTGGTGTGCAGCCCCTCTCCCTGAGGGAGCTCAAGCATGCAAACTGCACAGGGTGCTCTGCTGTGTCACCTGTGCTCGGGGTTGGATAGTGGCCCCAGGCTGCTTATTTGCTAACATTGATGTCACCTAGGCCTCCTGAGTCCCAGCTTGGTGCCTACTGGTTCAGCTCTGTTGCTCTGAAAGACTCCTGTAAGTCAAGGTGGTGTCTGCAGGATTTTTTGCCACCCAGCTGAGCACATCCTGGGCTCTGAGGCGAGAGGGACCATGGCCGCAGTGGTGGGAGGTGTTGGCTGTTCTCACAGTTCCCTGGATGGGAAAAGCAGCAGCCATGAGAGCCACAGGGGAAACCCCAGTGGCCTTGCGCTTTGCTGAAGAGCCATTAGGAAGACAGTTTTTTTTTTTTCCTCATTAATCTTCAATAATAAACTTGGCGTCAGAAATCCCGAGGGAGCTCTGGTCTGTGGGATCAGGCAGTTTGTATGAATGCTGTCCAGCAGACACCAAGCAACCTTATGTGCTCCTTGTTCCAACCGCAGCCTGGACTGAAGGCCAAGTGCCCTGGCAGGCAGAGAGCCTCTCCCAGGCACCGCGGGCCTGAGCCTTGTGCTTGGGTGTGTGTTGCCAGCTCTGCAGACCCTCTCCTGCTCAAGGATGGTGGAGCTTTGCCCTGTGTGGTCTCATGGGGGAATTAGGAGCATTCCTCGGCATTACTTTGCCTCCCTCCCTCCTCTCCCCCCGTCCCCGTCTTCTGCTTCATCTCTTTCGGATCCAGCCAGGGGAAATTCCCTAGGCTTGTGCTTCTGCCATAGTTAAATGTGCAAGCGCTCTATAGCTCTAGGGTAGGTGTTTTAATAGATGTACAAATGGGATTGTGCTACAACACAGGAAATAAACGTCCAAAATAAGAGCTATGAAATTCCACATAACAAGCTCATAAAGAACCTGTAGTATGGGCTGGCAATGGCCTCCCATTTACATACAAGTTCAGTGAATTTCGTGCAACGCAACCACGCTGCGGTGTTTGCAGGCAAGGGTTTGCCCTTGTTTATACAAGTGAACTGCAGCAGCTTCATGTCCTGGGACTGAAATGCCAACACAGGACAAAGATCTGGTGGTCCCCAAGGAGGAAACAGCAGATAAGCTGGACGGCTGCTCTGTGGTGCACAGCACCGAGGCATGACGCCACTGGCAGGTCTGGGCAGCCTCTACCTCGACCAGGCTCCCACAGCTATAAAAATACCAAGAACAGGAAAACTGTGGTGCACCTTGTCCCTCCTCTGTGCCCTCCTGCTGAGCTGCACCCTGGCCTCTCTGCTGGCCCACATCCTTCATCTCGAAGCCATCGTCTCCAGGATCCTCTTTGATAGCCATCACCAGGGCATCATGAGCTACATCTAATGTGAGTAAGTAAAATGGGTTAGGGATGGTTCCAGCTGACCTGGGGACTCTTTCAGCCCCACGGCACTCCCCGGCCTGCCTCGGCAGTGGTGTCTGGCCAGTGCCGACCTCCGAACCGCGCTGGGCGCTGTCCAGGGCATGCCAGTCACTTCACTCTGCCAGCAACAGCGGGACCGTGTCTGTGCCTGTCCCTGTTTAGTTTCCTGGTTTAGATCTAGTCCTTTCAGACCCTGTGCCGTTATTACATAAAAAATTGTAATGATGTATTTCAGAAAAGACTTACGTGAACCACAGAATAAAAAGAAATCTTACACCATTGAACAGAAACAAGAGTTACATAGATGTAGCTCGCGTTTTCCACAGACCTCTGTCTAGTAATAAATGTTTGTTTTGTATACTTCAAGGCTTTGGAGTGCTAAGCAAATACTTCCAATAAGAAGACCTTCCTTTTCTTCCCACGACAGCTTCATTTCTTTAAGAGCCCTTTTGGGAGAGCTTTTTGGAAATCCAAGCGCGCTCTGCAGACCAGATTGTCTTATGTACACAATGGCCGTTTCCTCAAAGAGCTCTGTAGGTTTGTGACTTGTAACTTCCCCCTCTAAAGCCACGTGGAATCTCCCATTACGCCATATTTATCCCAGTCTCTGTTATTTCAAGACTTTATTACCAGTTCTAATAACTTGCCTTTTATAGAACTTGGGCTGACTGCTTTCCAGTTTCCTGGTTCCCACTGGAACTTTTTAAAAATTAGCATCTTATTAATAACATCTAGTCTTTGGCAGAAGAATCAATGTAGTGCTCGCCCAAGTGAGTATTTGGTACTTTATCCAAGAGTTCCTTCTGGCGCTGGCCCTTTTTTTACCATGTGTTCTAAAAATGTAGTTAAAATCTTTTCTCCTGATGCTTTGAGACAGTCCTGCAAACACATGCCCTCTAAGGAATGATGCTAGCGTGAGCGCCTTCACAGCAAAGGCTAATATGAGTAATTCGTTTAGCTTTCCTGCAATGACTCTTTCACACTCATATAACCTAATCATGCCCCGTCCCATGTGGCTCTCTGGCAAACTTCCTGCTTCTCATGTAGTTATGATTAATTTTTATGCCTTTAGGATGCTTTCCTCGGATCTTTTGTGGCCTGCCTTGTACGTGTGGCTTTCCAGAGCTAGTGTTCTTTTTTTATTCTCTTGTCTGTATGCAATTTCCACTTCTTTTAAGGTCTTGCCATTTCAAGTGTTTGTTTCTACTCTCCTGTTTAAGCACGTGACTTGGGGTTTTTTGTTTGTTTGGAGCGTTGGTGTGCATTTACTCCTACGTAATCTAATATTGCATATTTAAACAGCCTTCATGCTGCATACAAGCCTGAATGCTTCTGTGAAGTCCATTTGAATAGTCTCCTTTATCTTTTGCAATTAAGTATTATTCTAAGGTACCACTTTGTTCTCACCAGGACAGGCTGATCAGTAATTACTGCTCAGCGGCCCTTCATCCGCTACCTTGTGAACTAAGCCCTGTGTACGGCTCAGGAGTCACTCAGGTATGTGGTTTTCCTTGGCACAACCTCCCTTCACTCCCTGTGCATGGTGTGGGGTTGCCTCACCCCACAGCCTTTCTCCCACCAGGTCTGAAGTACCAGCCTGGCATTTAAAGGGCCTGTGTAGAGCCAAGGAGACCAGGGATCCAGGCTCCCCTCGGCTCACCACGTCCAAGTCACTGACACCAGAGCCATGGGTGAGGTCAAAGAGGAGAAAACCCTGGAAAGCAGCATTACCCGGAACAGTGGGACTTCGGCCAGCTGGGAATTCGGGAGTCACGTAAGTCCCCCAGCCCCGCTGCGTCCCAGCTGCAGAGTCGCCAAGTTCCTTGACCCTGCGCAGAAGGCCTGAGAACGGCCGAGGCGGTGGGGGGTAGCAGCTGAGACGCGGTGTTGCTCTTAGCTCCTGCTTCGTGCGAGGCAGAAGAGCGACCCGGGCAGCCCCAGTTCCCTGGGCTCGCTCACCCCAAAAAGCCCTGTCTTGCCTTTGCCACAGCAGGCAGAACTGCTGAAATCGCCCTTCCCTTGAGCAGCTGCTGCACGCAGGGTCACGGCACAGCAGAGCCAAGCTGTGGGCGCCAGGAGCAGGGACCTGCTCCCCTTCCGGCACCGCGGCAGCGCAGTCCAGAAGCACCGGGCTGGGAAGGCAGAGGCCTGCTGCTCTGACTATGGTGCTGACACCTCTGCACAGTGACAGTTCTCTGCCCTGGGGACAATCCCCTGGTTACTAACACAAACACACCAAAACCCAACGTATTTGAAAGGGACAGCAGCCTGGTATTTCCCAGAGGATCCCGCCAGCAAGAAGCCCAGCATTATATAGACCTGCCTGGTTCGAAGGGACCCGAACGCATGGCAAAAGCTTCCTCATCTCACTGGAGTGCAATGGATGTGACAAACAGCTCTGCTGACAAAGCAAATGGGAGCACTTGCACATGGGAATGGTCTGGTGCAGCAACCAGCAGCGTGACTGAGCCTTGCGCACTGCTGGCCTCACCTCTTGCATACAGCAAGTGCCCTTGGTAACAGGGCTGAGCTCCCGTTCACTGAGGCTACAGGGAAAGTTCAGCTGAACCTGCAGTGACAGAAGTTTTCAGGCCAACACGAGCATTCACATAGGGTTTACACTACTGGGAAATAACAGCTCCTGTTGTTCCCTGGCACGGACACAAGCCCCAGCTACTAGTCCTCGTCAAATCCTTGAAGTGACGCAACACAGCCTGTGAACAGATCCAATGGGGTCAGCAGTGTGCAGGTGATGGACACAGTTTCAATACAAATTTAGCACAGAGAGACCAGTCATAGGATTTTATTTGAGGGCTGATTTGAAGAAATTGCCTAGATTATACCCAATTTTTACCTGGATTCACATGCCAGATCCAGGATACACACAACACACATTGCTTCTCCTCACCCACCAGCCAGCACCTGCATTTTTAGATCACTCAAGAGAATTAGCTGCCATGCAAAGAAATGCATCTCTACTTTCACATTAGCCATGCAACACCCCACTACCATCCCATGCCTGCATCCATCCTCAGTCCAGAGGCACACCTGAAAGGTCAATCACATGTTCTCCTGCCCTTCCCTTTTACTCTGTGCCCTGTTGTGGCACTGCCTTTCCCAGCTCATGGATGGCCTTGTTCTCCAGCACCTCCACCTTCCCCCCGCCCGGCTTCAGCACGCTGGCCACCATTGCCCTTGCCACTGTCTCCACAGGAACCGAGTAAGCAGTGGGGAACACCCGTGCCACAAGACTGAGAAACTGCTGGGCAATCCACTCAGCAGGGCGGGACTCCTGGCGTGCGCACAGCAGCACCCTGCGGAGCAGGGAGGTAAGGCAAGTCAGGCTGAAATTATGGCCCTAAGAAAAACTAGAGACTGAGCTCTCCAACTGCTTCGGGAGCCCCAGCTCGGCTTGCTGAATCCATGTGGAGCCCAAGATGGGGCTTCTGTGGGGTCCTGGAACATGACCAGGCTGAGCCCTGGGACGCTCAACTCCTCTCCCACACAGCACTGCCCAGACAAGATGCCACTTCTCCCAGGCAGCAAGAATAGGGTGGAGAGGAGGCAGGAGAGAGTCCTCTCTGCACAAGGTCAAGCTCCGTGCAGAGTTAAGTTAGGACCTCTGTCCCTCAAACTCTTCTTTCAACTTAGGTCTCTCCTAGTGTGATGCCTGTGACCTTACCTTTGGGAAGGTCCCTGGGAAACTGCTCTTTGCCCCCTGCAGCAGTGGGGAAGGGGTGCACTGAGATGGGAGCCGTGTTTGCACCCAGCTGCTTTATCTGCTCCCCAGAGACTGCCTTATGTAAGCTGCTCCTAGCCCTTTCTCCATCTCTGCAGCCCTCTGCCCTTGCAACCTTGCACCTGAGTCCTGTGCCCTCCCTCTTTCAGAGCTACTCACGCTGGCCGGAGAATGGTACAGCGATCAAAACCGACAGCCTGGACGAGGTTCTCCACTTCTCCCTGTCAGAGCAGTCAGGCAGGATGAAACAAGACAAGGATGACTACAAACACCATGTCCACTGCCCCGTGAACTGGGGAGAGAAGAATCGCTGTGCTGTGGGCAGGGTGGCACTAGGCAACTGGCTGGTACCGCATCTAAGCCCCCGAGATCCCAGGGTAACTTGCAGCCTAGAGCCACATGCACACACTGCTGCAGGACACTGACTCCACTTCACTGAAGCTGTGGCTTAGCTGCACGGCTTTAGCTCATGGACTCCATAAGATGAAAAAGGTAAAAACAAAGACCTGAGGGAAATTGCGCTGTTGGCAATAGTAACTTGGGAGAAAAATGCTGACATAAAAAGGAAAAAAGAACCAGAAGACAGCATTTCAGTAAGGTAGGTAGCCAAGAAGCAGCAGTGGCTCACCCTTTCCCACCTGACTGTCACCTGCCTGCCAGAGACTCATCAGGTGTCTCATGAGAGGCTGTGAGCACATCAGTGCCTCATAGCACCTTAAGCCCTGCCACCTCCCATACGTAATAGCTAACAGATAATTGGTATGTACTTGTAAACCATATATAATCCTGCTTGCAAAAGACACACAAGTCACAACCTACGAGAGAAGGGTTAGAGGAGAAAGTGCACAGGGCACCAGGTATAGTGAGCCATGGATAAAGGTCAGTAAAGTCCTAGGCGCCACAAGCCACACACCCCAGAGAAGAGGAGCTTCAGAGAGGTGAGGAAAGGAAGAACTGCAGCTGTTCCTGGCCACAGTGCAACACGTTGGCCAAGAGGCCACTTATCAAACTGGAGGGCAGGGCTGCTGCTCAGAGGGATCTCAGAAGGGCAGAAGAATGTGCTAGCAGGAGCTGGACAGAGCACAGCTGTCCAGGAAAAGGAAGGGCATGGAGGGGGTTGCCCACGCAGACAAGTTGAACATGAGTCAGCAGCGCACCCTTGCAACCCTGATGCTAACTACAACTGGGTCTGTATTAGCAAGTGTAGCCAGCAGAGCAAGGGACACTTGTGAGGCAGCCTGTGGGCACTGTGTCCAGTCTGGGGATCCCCAGTACAAGGCAGTGACAGTCAGGAATGCATCCCGTGGATGTTGGAGGCTGGAGCACACTCACCCCATGAGGAAGAAAATTTTCACAATGAGTATGGTGCAGCCCTGGGACAAGGCTCAGGGAGCCTGTAGGATCTCCACCCCTGGGACACTTCAAATCTCACCTGGACATGGCCTGAGCTGCCCAACCCGTCTGTGAAGCGTGGAGCAGGGGTTGTACTGGAGACCCCAGGGAGTCTGTCCCACCCAGATCTTCCCTGTGACTCTAAGAGGCAGAAGGATGCTGCACACAGGCATTTTGCTGCTCAGGATAAGGCAGGTCACACTGTTGTCCTGCCAGCCTCATTCCCTGATTTGTTGTTCTCCAGGTCCAGGAGGACCCCAGAGCCACTTGGATCTTTTGCAGCCTCAGCTCTTGCTTCGTTCCAAAGTGTCCTGGCATTTCCTGATGCTTCCCACCTCACCTTCACCCTGAGGTAGAGGAAAGGGCTGTGCTCGTTTGCGCCCTGGGAGGACTGAAGGATGAAGTGTTTGCACCCCCCGGCTCGTGCCAGCTCTGCTGCCTGCGCAACGTAGTCCCGGTCCACACGGATGAAGCCGGCCTGCAGGTAGAGCGAGAGAACAGGATCAGTGCAGCTGGTAGCTCCCACACAGGTAGTGGAGAGGGGGAGGATGACTCAGCCAAATGCTACATCCAGCATTGCTCGTTGGTGCTGAATGCATGTTCCCATAGCTTCCCTGGGGTGGCAAACCCCAGCAAGACTGAACATGTGAATAATCTCTTCCAGTAGCACCCCTACAACATCTGGGAGGAGCAGCACACTCTCAGGGAGCTCCTCACTCACCACGCCGGCCTTGGCCCGTGTGGTGCCCAGGCAGCAGAAGCCGACATCGTGGCCCTGGAAGGCAGCGGCGTGGTCACTCAGTCGCTCAAAGTCCACCACCACCTGCTCCTGGGGGTACACCATGGGTTCACATGTGTGGCTGCAGCTCCCACAGGCCCCCGGCGCCCCTCAGCACCTCTGGGTACTGCAGGGCTGGGAAGGTCTGGTCTTGTCCCCCTCTGCCCCAGCCCATGCACTGGGCACCCTGGACCACCTACCTCCTGGGTCCTGCACCCCCTGATCCCATACCACCCCAACAGTGCCCTACACCACCTCCAGCATCCCCCAGGGTCTGCACCCCCTGACCCCACACCACCCCATGGCCCCTGCACCTGCCAGGACCCTCCCAGGGTCTGCACCCCCCTGATCCCACACCACCCCATGGTCCCTACACCTGCCAGGACCCTCCCAGGGTCTGCACCCCCCTGACCCCACACCACACCCAGGTCCCTACAC